GAATTCAACACTGTCGAATTAAACTCTGTTCGCTGTCAATATTCCCAGGTGCACCACTTATTTGCTACACGTAGACGTATATTGAGCGTTTGCTTAACTGCATGCTTTACTGATGATTTTGTTTTGCTGTTTGTTTTTGCTTCCTCATCTTGGCTTTTCGTCATGGATAATTTGACTTGATTCACGTTCCATTACTTCATTGAAACACGACCCACAATATGCCATAGATTTTCCTACTTTCCACCCGGGAGTACCCTCTTCGTTTTCAAAAACCGAACACCTCATACAAAAGTAATTACAGCACGTCAAACAACTATATTTTGTCTTTACAAAGCAAGAACTACAAATTCCTTCGTCTCCCGCCAATTTTTTTTTTATTTTATTTTATTTTTTTTTTTTTGCTGTTTTGGCTTTTTCGCGCATGACATTCACAGAATTCCTTGCGAGTCATGCATTAGGTTCGACACATGTGAGATGCGACGTTTGAATCAAAAGTCGAACCTAAGTCGAATCTTCGACTGTTTCAGTCGCAGATGTGGTGAAAGTCGCATTTAAATAAAAACAGCCGAATTCAATTGATTCAAACGTCGCACTTTGCATGCATTCAACTCTCGCATTAAGTTCGGCACATGTGAAATTCGACGTTCGAACCGGGCCTAAGATTGGCCCCGACATCATGCCCGCTTGGGACTGCCCGCTTTGATCCGGCGCAAGAAAAAAAAGGTACGTGGAGCGGACTTACAAAGTTCGTAACTTTTGGACAATGTCATCGACAGAGTCGCAAAAAGCGTTAGAAGATGGTCAAAAACAAAGAAATTTAACGATTCTCTTGGGTTTATTGTGCAACACAGTAGCTCTCTTTTGTGTTTTTATAGACCTCAGCTTCGATCATCTCGGTCCATAAAAACCCAAAAAAACCTTGGCCAATATCCAGCCATCTTGACCCATCAAGTTTGGTCAATGACGCATATTGGTCGATAACACATATTTATGGTAAATGGTACATCTTTTTTGTTCTGTTTAGGAAGCAACAGTCGTCGAACTGGAAATAAAACTCAAAATCCTTTTTCTTCCTTAACTAGAAATGTAAAGGAAGAGAAACGTTTTCTTTTTCGACCAATGGCATTGAAACTGACGGCGTTTATTTTGGCATTAGAGGAAGGTGTTTGTTAAAAAACTCCCGCGCCGTGTTGTGTCGTAATGAACGGGGGAAACCCACTGTGAAGCACCCCCACGCTCAGCGAAAGGCACCAAGGACTCTAGAACTGTCTGTTACAT